GGATTTTGCCCATTATTTTTCTACTTTTTGTTATATACCTTTCGCCGCATGATTATTTTCTCTTTGTAGATCCTTTGGACTTGAAGTACCACAGCAAGTGGCGGCCGCATGGTTGTGGTTAGATGTCTCCTTGAAAATTCGAGGTCTTCAAGCCGTTTTATACTACAATGTGGCTCTTGTTGTGGACTTCATGTGTCGTTTTTTTTCCTCTCCATCTTCGTTTCCTCAGGTTACACCCGTATCCGGATGTGTGGGCATGTGTATCTACTTTTGTAGTTTCACATAGTATGTGCATTCATTTCGGGCCTGATGAAGCCAACCAGCAGAAATACGTATCGCTCGGGTTACCTATCCTATTTTCTGCTCGAATCCACTTTCCTCCTTTTTGCGGATTTTGCCCATTATTTTTCTACTTTATATATATATATATATATATACAGGGTGTTTCAGTTTATTGTTGCATAACTTTAAGATTCGATAGAACTTTTAAAATTAATGCATAAAGTCTATATAAATATGGGTCGAAAAATGCGTGGCTTCCGAAATACAGGGTGTTTAAATTTACTTTCTAAATAGTTTTTTTTTAAATATTTCGAACAATATTTGATGTATAACAGTGAAAATTGGTATACAAGGGTTTTTTGGTACGACAAAACGAACCATGGGCATAGTTTTACTGTAGCCGCTAGAGGGCGCTCTCTACTGTACCTGTAGTGTATTAAAATGACCGGAAACTTTTTCTTAGCGCAATTTTTTGCTTTTTGAATAAAAAAACTGATTCTCCGTACTTTTCAACATAAAAAAGCTCTCCTGTGAGTTTTCGTTATAGTTAGCCGTTTTTGAGATATTTCGATTTTTAAGGTTCATGCATTTTTAATTATATATGGGAAAATAATATTTTTTTTACATTTTCGATTTGGGGATTACAAGTAATTAAGATGATCGTTTAGATTGTGTTTTTAAACACAGCAATAATTCCTAACTCCAAATAAACACAAAAAACAGAATATTAATTTGTTTAATTTTCCAATATTATTTTTAACAAATTAAATTAATTAGTTACAACTAAAATGCTATTGGATAGTTAGGACAAACATACAAAATCTAAAGTAGTTGCTCGAAATGTAAACCCAATTGTTCAATACACAATTCACATCAACGAATGATCGAACGTGGTATAGCATTATTCAAATAAGGCCTTATTTCATCACATGCATTCCTGATTCTGTCTATTAGCATATCTCTTGTGGTTACGGGAGTCTGGTACACTTTTTCTTTTAGAAATCCCGAAACAAAGAAATCTAATGGATTTAGGTCAGGGGATCGTGGAGGCCAGGCGACTGGTCCTCCACGGCCGATCCATCTTTCTGGATAATTTTCGTCCAGCCAGTTTCTAACTATTCTCGAATAATGAGATGGACAACCATCAAGCTGGAACCAGGCCAATCTTCTTAAATCTAACATAACATCATCCCACATATTTGCATGTTCAGCCTTTAAAAATTCCAAGAAGGTCGCTGCATTTAACTTTGCAGGCAAAAGGTAGGGTCCAAATAGTCGATTACGGTAGATACCAATCCACACGTTCACACTAAATTCATGCTGAAAATGTCTTTCCCGAACTGCATGCGGATTTTCATGCGACCAAATATGTTGATTATGAAAGTTTACCACTCCACGTCTAGTGAAGCATGACTCATCGGTCCATAAAACGTTACTTAAAAACTCCCTATTATTATCATCAGTTCTATCAAGAATCCACTGACAAAATGTGATTCTTCGTTCTCCGTCCCCTGGCTGTAGTCCTTGCACAGGTTGCAAATGGTAAGGACGTCTATGGTCATTTCTAAGAACACGATGAACATGGCTTGCTGAAATTCCCAAGGCACCAGAAACTCTCCTAACACTTGTGGTCGGATCTCTATCAAACTCACGAAGAATCATACGGGTAAATCTGCGCTGACGAACATTTATGTTTTGATCCCGTTGGAGATTTCCAAAACCATTTTCAATTATTTGGCGATGCACTCTTACAAATACTGAGCGAGTTGGATGTCGTCTGTTTGGAAATTCCATTTACAAAGCCATACACAAAATGAATATCCGCTAACTCTTGATTGGAGAATAAAAGTGGCATTTTTATAAAACTTAAAAAAAAAAACAGGTAAAAGAAACTAAATTTCGTGCATTCACAATTGCAAAAAAACGTTTCAGGTTTCAACAGACAACAAAACTAACTGTCAACTAATTGAAGTTTAACCTTATTCTGCTTTCAATTTCAAAAATATTTGCAGGCACAGCCTACTTCTAAAAATTATCGAGATACTGACTTTTTAAGGTTATTTTATTATATATATATATATTATTATTTTTAGACTTTATGCATTAATTTCAAAAGTTCTATCGAATCTTAAAGTTATGCAACAATAAACTGAAATACCCTGTATAACAAGTCATGAAAGGATACACCGGCAAATTTTAGTCACACAATTGAGAAATGTCCACTGATTGCTAATATTTCACAGTCACATTTGGATGGTAAAATCAGAAAACATGTGGTTTTACCGGTATCCATGTCACGTAAATCTGTACGATTATTTTGAATGTAAATATGTATATATGTTATGTAAATACCTCGTTGTTTCAAACTTTTAATTCTTTAGGACAGGTTAAGATTAGCTCCAGACAAAATATCGATTTTTTGGGACTTTTGTGTGTTCTAGTTTCTTTTGCAAGCGTCGTTTTATTATCCGGAAATCACATTAATATAATTACATGCACAAAATAATTATAAAATTAGTTAGCTTAACACTAAACATCTCTGGGGGTCAAATCGAGAGTGGGCCCGATTCCGCAGAGAATATTATCATGTTAGCATCAAGCCTAAGTCTCATAATGTGTACGTTACATATAATTCAAGTGCATATTATTGTGGATAATTTTGACCAATAAATATAAGTTATGGCTAAGAAAATTCTTGCTCTCATTCGATTGCCGGAGTTAAGCAGCGTTGGTTGAGGTTAGTACTTAGATGCCTGCTTCTTCTTTCACTTTTTTGGCTGGGCCATCCTTAATTGGGATTTTTATCGTTTTTACAGTGTGCATAGCATTTTCGTCCGTGATATACTCGTAGTAGTTTATTAAAATGCGAAATGTACTTTTTGAGTTATAGATTAAGGCAGACAGACAGACGGAAATGACTGACAATGGTTTTTCGTGATCTAGGCACAGTATAACCCCGATTATCTGAAATAATGTGGACCTAAGTGCTTTTGGATAATCGAAATTTCGGATAAAAGGGCAATAAATATTTAGACTCATAATGCTTTTATTGAAAAAAGTAAATGGGTGTGTTAAGTGAGTATATGCCTATATAAAGTTACGTAGAATATAAACATGTATATACATACATATTTACGAGCATTTAGTAAGAAGGGAAGTAATTTTTTATTGTACACGTTTGGCATTGTTCCTATTTCTGGCAGCAATATCCCTCCAACGTTTGATAAGTAGCACACCAGCTGCTGTCACATTTTCTTGTTGTTCGACGTAAGTCAAAGCCTTTTGTAGAGCTCCTAATCCCACAGAATGTGATATTTTGATATTCTCGTATACCGTGTCGTTGTTACCATCTATGCAGCCAACCATAAATGGCTGCTAAGTTATCAGGCGCCTCAAGAACTGGCAATTCTTCACTCAAGTTGACTGCCTTTTGCTTTATAATTGGTCCGGAAATTGGTATTCCACGTTCTCAATTCTGTGTAAACCACAGATAAAAAGCATCATCCACTTTTTGATATTCCCCCTTTCTCATAGTTTTCCGTGATGGCTGCGATGATGTCAGAACACTAGAGCAGTTTTCAATTCTGCCGCGTTGTTTTTTCCATTCTGAAATGGTACTCACACCCACACCCAAATCAGTTGCCACGTTTTTAAGCAAATCACTTCTACCTACACGTCTGATTGCCTCAAGTTTCTGTTCTACGGTAATAACAACGCGTTTACCTTTATTTATCTGCTGCTCCATCTTAGCGATTATGAACCTGACTGAAACAAACATACACGCACACATACCACTGAATTCCGCAAACGCGCTTGGGGAATCACCGGCAGCGAATCTAATGACGCAAACGCCGAAAGGGGAAACGGCCTAAACGTTGCGTTGGTGGGTAACAACACCATTTAAAAATTGGGCTTTGTATAGACAAACAACTAAATACTAGAAGCGCAACAAATTCTGTCCAGACAAAACCAAACCTCCGTTTGATGTACCGATCAAGGAGCGAAACCGTTGGTTTATGTTGGCTCGCGCCGTACACCGATTCGAACACCTCAAAATATGTGCCTTGGCTTGCGTTGAAATTTCGGCGTGTACGTGGCTTAAGATCGAGAATTGTATACCACCGTAATACCCGTTCCACTTTGACAATAAATTCACTGTTGCTCATGAATTGATTTCATGGCCAAATTTCAAAAGTATAAAACACGGATATAAAAACTTAAAAACGCAAGAATTTGTTGTGTGGTTGGTAGCACTGTGTACTGTCGAATATTCCATGAATTTGATCATTGATCGAAACACCGCAAAAAAGTAGTTCAGATGTCCTTGAATAAATCCATCTCAATAAACTGAGCTTGAATTAACTCGAAGTCAGTTTGAAGAGAGCCTATAAAGTTGCAGGGAGGTTATCACGTTGTTTCCCATCGAAACAGCTCTGAAGAGTGGTCGGCATCAGGGTAGCAAATTTGCAACATAAAATACTAGTTAAGCTGCAGGAACAACCAATCACAGACCTACTTGTCCACTTAGTCCAAATGCAGCCAGGATATCAAAGGAGATAATAACACGAAGTCTTGAAACTCTCCACAAGGCTTGAAGGTGGAATTTCTCCGGCTTTAGCAACCCCCTACACCCATAACGGAGGCTTTATGGGTGACGTCAAGTGAGGATTATATTCAGCCCCTCTGAGAAAAAATTTCTCGAGCGTACTGACCAACAGACAACGTTGTTATGACTAACCTCGTCAGTCACCCATCGATTAGACTCCAATACAGGTATATGTACGTTCGATGCGTTGCGTGAGACGAATGTGTTGAAAGTAAACATCTACCAATCATAAGCATCAGGAACATATGTACGGGAAAATCTATGATAAGTGAAGCGTTTAGATAATAAGCTAAAAAGAGACGTACCCTCAAACAATCCCAAATGTTTATCTTTTTTTCGTGTTTTTTGCTCGTAGCTCGGCCTCCACTGGACCGATTTTCAAAAACTACAAAGCTTTTTCGTCTTTGGCATAGTCGTGACCTTGTTTCAGGATTTTATCGGGCGCCAACCGGTATTTTTCAGATAATAATGGGGTCAGGTATTAACCAGTTGCGTAGGAGGTAAATCTATTAATTCATAAGAAAAAAACTACAATTCGGGTTTTGATGAACTTTTATCGCTAGGTTGATACTATATCAAGGATGAACATGCCTTACTTATAATTTCGGGTTAAAATTCCAGCAACAGGAGAAGAATTGAAGAACGCTCATGCTTTAGTCTTATGATATTAGGCGAAAATACCGCTGGTTTGCGAAATAATTGTTTGTCTGGTTTTATAGCTGCAAGTTGTTCAAGGGTATATTCAAAACCTGGACGCATAAAATGGGTACACCAATTTTTGTGGGAAAACTTTTTATTCGACAACAACGAATGAGAAAACGTGTTTTTTGGGATTTAGTCGAAAAACCCTCCATACAATATTTTTAGGTATTTATGAGACCTACAAAATGAGATCATATATTAAAAGAACTAAATAATAGCAACAAAGTTATGGCCGAAAACCGAGGCAAACTGCAGTTTACCTTTATTTCTATACTGCTCCATCTTAGCGATTATGAATCTGACTGAAACAAACATACACGCACACATACCAGTGAATTCCGCTAACGCGCTTGGGGAATCACTGGCAGCGAATCTAATGACGCAAACGCCGAAAGGGGAACTACCGGCGGCTATTTCGGATCATGCACCGATTTTCCGAGCAACTTCGGTTGAAACGGATAAATTATTGTATGCGATCTGTTTCAGATAAAGCAGATTTCGGATAATCGGGGTTCTACTGTACATGTCAAGTGATATCCCAAAAACATAATAAGTCAACGTTTCTTGAAACAATGAGGCAATAAGGACCTGTACTATGGAAGCGGGGAATTTCGGTAACCATATTTATACATTTTTCTATACATTTTACCAAAGGCTTTATTCGAAATGACTTTCGACCGTTGAAATTGATTTCGATGGTGCCTTGTGACGATATACTTGATTAGCTACGATAGTTTTCACACTGGCATGATAATTTGAATATAGAAGATCAATATAATCAGATGTCAAAATTATCATATCGAATCAAGTATATCGTCACAAGGCGCCATCAAAATCAATTTCAACGGTCGAAATTCATTTAGGATCAAGCCCTCGTTGTATTTTCGATCACTATAAGAAATATTTTTATTACACCTCGAAGTACATAAGTGAGAGAAAGAGAGAGTGGAATATACGTATTTTTATATTTCCAGAGCCATCTGCTGCCTTACAACGAAACAGCCGGCATCCTGCCCATGGACCAGATCCTGCAACTCGTCAACGCCCAACAAAGCTCTAGAGGCAACTATGCATGTTCAGCGATAAACTCCGAGGGAGAAACTTACAGTGCACCACTGGAACTGAAAGTTCAATGTGAGTTGATACTTGTGTAATCGTATGCCTGCTAGAATGACCGTCGTTTGTCGTTGCTATCCCAGTAACGCATTCAGATACTGTTTGGGACTTTTAGGAATTGGTATATCAATCATCACCTTGCATGTTCATTAGGCTTTACACTGATCGTTTATGATGTGTTTGGGTGGTTCAATATTATCCTACCATTCGAAAACACATTGTGTAAAGCTACCAGTCCCTTAGTTCAACAATAGATCTAATTACTACTACTACTACTACTACTACTACTACTACTACTAATTACTGCTTAAATGAGCGATTCGGTGGAAATTGGCTAGGAACCAACGTACCAATCCGTTGGCCTACAAGGTCGCCAGATTTAACACCACTGGATTTTTCAATTTGGGGCTATTTAAAACAAAAAGTTTATGCCACTACTCCACCGTCTTTAGAAGTACTGGTAATTAGAACAGCCATTGAAAACATATCACAAGAACATTTACGAATATTGCTTATAGAAAACATCAAGGGAGTCAGGTTATGTCAACAACTCGTCGGCCAACGCATAGAACACTTAATTGAATGATTTTTCTTAATTTTTATTTATTAATTTATCTGCTAAGTTATTTGTTATTTAGTTACTTTTGTTACTTAGTTTTTACTAATTTCTGTTATTGTTCTTGTTATCGTTAAATATAAAAAATACAAAGAAACGTACATTTTTCTTTCGGAAATAAGACGCTCTTTATTGTTAGCATTTAGAAAGTTCCGTTTCTTAATCAAAATTCTGAGAAAATTTTAAATACATTTTGACATTTTAAGTAAAAACAAATAGCCCCAAATTTATGACAATTTTTTGTTTTGCCAACGCATTGTAGAAGCAGCAAGAGAATCCACTTGCATCTTAAATTAGCGGACATACGAGCCCCTTCCCACTTCAGTTGGCCCAATTATTGAAATCTTAGTTTTTTCTTATCAAGCACAAATAATAAAAATGTAGCAGGGCGTTATAGGTTTAAAATATTAACAATGAATATTTTGATAATATATAGTAGAAAACACCAACTTTATCACTCCCTAATCAAATTTGCAGCATAAAAGTAACACATGTTGCAATTACAGCATATCAACATATTTTCATTTCAATGCAAAATGAATCTATAACGCATAGGTGGCTGTGAAAAATAAAAGCCACGACAATTGTTTTTATTAATCACAGCTGTCAGAATACGTTTAAAATAGTTTTGGGTAGGTTTTCAAAATGGGTAGAGGAAAGGTTATTAGTGAGAAAATTCGGTTACCGATAATTAAATTTTTTAATTCTGGGAAATCAAACTCAGAAATTGCAACTTTGTTAGACTTATCGCGGTACAGTGTGAAAAATATTCTTAGAAGATATAACGTAACTGGTTCAGTTAATATTAAGCCACGATATGTGAAAAAAGTAATATCACAAATGCCGACCGAAGAGCATTCAGAAGAATAATCGTGAAAAACAGGCATGCAAAATTATTTACAATTAAGTGCTCTGTGGAGTGAAGCTGTTGGAAGGAGAATTTCGAGGTCCACAACTCATAGAGAGGCCCACAAACTGGGATTTAGCAAGGTAAGCTTTCTTATAAAAAAAGTGAAGTAAAAACCCTAAAGTTGCACAACTTGTTTATAGGCCAAAGAAAAGCCACCATTAACTCCACTGCAAAAGAAAAATCGGCTTAGATGGGCCAAAGAACATAGACAATGGACACCGCAACACTGGTGTGCAATACAATGGAGTGATGAGGCCCGATTCGAAGTTTGAGTTGGTGACAGTCGCAGTAGAGTTATTCGCAAAAAAATGAAGATTTCCATGTTGACTGTCTGAAGAGAAAAGTGAAATTTTCAGCATCCATTATGGTCTGGGGCAGTATGTCATCAAAAGGAGTAGGAAAACTTCATTTTATTGATGGAAATGTGGGTACAAATAAATATTTGGCAATTTTAGAAGAATCGCTTTTACCAGTGATGGAAGAATGTTTGACATCCGGCCAAGATTTTGTGTTTCAGCAAGATGGTGCAGCGTGCCGTACCTCAAAAAAGGCTATAAAATGGATGGAAGAAAATAATGTACCACTTTTGAAATGGGTTTCTTGCAGTCCAGATCTGTCACTATTGAAACTTTGTGGCACGAGATGAAAAAGGTTCTACGACAACATCCTGCTCGTACAATCACCGAACTGAGACAAAAGCTTCAAGAAATATGGGATTGTTTTACACCAAATTTTTGCCAAAACTTGGGGAACACTATGCCCCAAAGAATTACAGCCGTAATAAAAAATAAAGGTGATGTTACCCAATGGTAATCTTTCAATTGTTGCTTTGTAACATCGCGCATTTATTCGCACATTGTTTATTTGTACAGATATTCTATTAGTTATAGGTCTAAGTGATTTCAAATATGTATTTTTTACGACTAGAGTGTATCTAAAATGTTTTTGAGAAAATAAATTATTTAGAAGTAAATAGTTTCGTCATGTTTAGTTTATAAAGGCATATTTTGGTACAAATCTTGAAGTGGGCCAACTGAAGTGGGAAGGGGCTCGTAGATACTGTCAAAACGCCGCCATATTGAACTTGGCATAAATGCCATTTATGCCGTCATTTTGAAAAGGAATTACAACTTGTGATACATCGTTGAAAAGGAAATTTTAAGCTCTATGCAAATATGTAAAAATATGTACAGGGTCCTATTTATTCTTGTTTCATACTCACTTCTGGTCAAACCGTAAGCGATATTCATTTGTTTTTCAAAGGATAATCTGAGTTTTTATGTCATATCTTCACAAACAGTTTCAAGGTTCTTCTTTAAACAGCAACTGAATAGTGAATAATAGAGAATTGTAAAACGATTTCGTTGGCATCCGGTATACTTGTACGTTCGAAAAGTTATCCGATATATGAGATACCGTAGCGTTATCAGCTATCTTTCTCCTCTCCGCAGTAATTAGGAATCTACTTTGAAAAGGTTAATGTCTCGTAGACGACGCTGCATATGCTCATATATTGTTGGCTACAGCGCCATCTATGAGACATTAAACTTTTCAAAGTAGATTTCTAATTTTTGCGGAGGGAACAAACATAGCTGTGATAAATTCTCACAGATGACGTTCCTGTATCTCATTTCATCCCGGATCATTTTATGGACGCAGGAATATACTGTAAGGTTAGCTACATTCAAGTAGAAGACGTTAATCGATGAATAGGATAAAACTTGCCACTCTATTTCGATTTTAATTATAGGTGGATGTGCATACAGCACCATTACACACTCACCATTTATTGATACCATTTCAGATTGAAGAACTTGGATAAATTGACCTATCGCCGACATGTCTGCCGGCGTTGCATCTTTTAATCACGCCGTAATCTCAGTGAATGATCGCCGCAACAATGATGTATTTTCTAAACATTTTATTTGACAGAATGTTAATATTTTCCCTCCAAAAAAACGTTTCCACTTTTTTCCATAAAAAAGAAATGGTAAGACAATGTCCTGTGATGCTTTTGCGTCAAAGCTGTGATGTAATTGGTTCTAGCGTGACGTAATAAGTTTTCCATGCTCTGTTTTTAGAATATAAGTGGGGTCTTCCGCAACAGAAATTAGGTTTCCAACAGGGGATTAATTATTGAAATGAGGGTGTTGAATAACTGAGAGGAAGTAGGCGTGGGTCTTTTTTCTTTTGGGCAACCATGTTCCTGAAAACTGGTAGGAATCCGGCCTCGAATTATTCACGGCAGAAAAAATGCGGAAGTGTCGTCGCCGTTCATCAGTTCCGTCTCAAAGACAAAGTTTACTTTGTGAAGGAACGTTTGATCGTATGAAGAACAAAGAAACATATTACTTTGTCGAAAATAGATGCATTCATAAACTTGTTTGACAAGAATCAGCAACCTCCTAAATTCAAGATCATTCCCCAGGGAAGAGAAACCACACATACTTTATCTCAGTGATTGTAATCGTTCTCAAGAATTCACCTAGGAACCCATATATGTATGTACATATAAGAAAAGCATGGCACTGATAGACACTAGATGGTAATGTCACACAATACTACTAAACTGTTCGTTGTTTATAAGATAGATCATCATTGAAAATGGAAGAGTACAATTGAAGGGTTCGGTGCAAAAACCAGTCAACTCCATCTTTTACCCAAATTCAGTTTATATATGCATCGTATAGAACAAATGTTTGTACATCTTTTGGTGCAAGAATCAGCCATCTCCAACAAATATTATGGTAAATACTTGGGCCAAGGAGTTGACTGCATCAATACTTAGGTGCAAGAATCGGCCAACTCCAGGAGATGACCGTTTCTTGCCACCAATGGTAACATCGGCAACATCGGAAAATCAGGCCACGTGCGATGGCAAGCCGGTAGCATTTCAGTTGGTTTTCAACATTGCATTGTGTCTCGTTAACGAATAAGGTGTAAAAAAGATCGTTGCATTATGAGTATCAGTTCAAGTAGCGAGTTTAGTGAGGAAGACCCATATGTAGATTCTGGGACTTACTACGTGTTATCGGATTCCACCGATTCTGATGTTCCGGGTCCTAGTCGACGGCGATCAAAGCATTTTGTTAGTGCTAAAAAAGGTACCCATAAAAGTAATGAGCAGCAAAAACGTCTGTGAGTAATAATACAGAAATTCCAAACATTCAAACCGTTAAGAAAAAAGGCAAGAAACGGGTGAGGATGGAAAGCAAATGGAAACGAAACATTATGAAGAGTAAGCAGGCTAGAGGGGAAGAATATATTAATTCGGCAAATAAACTAATTCAAAAGAAAACTACTGGACCAAATTGCCATTGTAGAAAAAGATGTTTCACTAAAATAGACGATACCCAACGACAGAACATACTTGAGCAGTTTTATAGTACGGGAGATAAAACTAAACAAGACATTTACCTAGGGGGATTAATCAGTGTGTCAAATGTGAAGAGGAAACGCCCGACTACAGGAGAGGGTAGAGAAAAAAGCAACACCTATCAGTATAAGGTAATGTTTTTGTTGCAAAATATAATAATTGGTTCTAAAATGTCTTTTTTTTCAGTTACGGGCAGGAAGCCAGGAAACCATAGTATGCAAAAAGCATTCTGTTCTTTGCATGGAGTATCAAAAAATAGAGTGTCTCAGATTGCCAAAATCTGACGCTGGGTAGTATTATGTCACCTTCCGATAAGCGTGGGAAGCATTCCAATAGGCCGAACAAAATCAGTGAAGAAATAATAGCGCAAATAGAAGAACATATTCGGAGTTTTCCCAGAAGAAAATCTCATTATAGTAGGGAGGATAATCAGAAAAGGTATTTTTTATCTCCTGAGTTGAATATTGCAACAATGCATCGCCTCTACCTTCAAAAATATGAGCCAGAAAAGTATGCTCTCCTAGACGATGGGAAAATTTTGAAGGACATTAAACCAGTAGTAAGATATGATTTTTATCATCGGCAATTTAATCTCAATCATAACCTTAGTTTTGGACATCCAAGATCAGATACCTGCCAGAAATGTGACCGCCTGCACAACACAATTTCCGCAGAAGCAAATGCAGAAATAAAACCCGCTTGGAAACTGAAAAGCGTCTACACTTACAGAAGGCCGAAATATTTTATACCAAATTACGAGAATATACAAATCTTGCTCGCGAAGATGAATCAGTTGATGTGTTATGCTTTGATTACCAACAAAACCTGCCACTGCCGCATATTCCGTCGGGCGATGTGTTCTATAAAAGGCAGCTATGGCAATACAACTTTTGTGTACATTCTGCCAAGAAAAGAGAGGCTACTTTTTATATGTACGATGAGCTCACTGCCAAAAAAGGTTGTAACGAAGTAGTCAGTTGTTTACATCACTATTTAACAAACTTTGTCCCGGAAACTGTTACAACCCTCTATTTATTTTCGGACAACTGTTTTGCCCAAAACAAAAATCAAACCATAGTGCAGTACTTTCACATTCATCAATGCTTTCAATAGTAATATTCAGCAAATTATACATCAGTTTCCAGAACCCGGTCACAGCTTTCTGCCGTGCGACCGTTGCTTTGGTTTAATTGAAAAAGAAAAACGAAAAAAAGAAATAGTATACTTACCTTCTGAATGGAAAAAATTAGTCAAGAATACATCTAAACAGTTTCGCGTAATAGACGTTACCCAGGATATGATCCTCGATTTTTCGAATACTTTTAAACCTATTTTTAAAAAAGCCATAAGTAACCAACAAAAAGAAAGATTTACCATCTCAAAGTATCGTCTTTTCAAATATGAAAGAAAAAACATAATACAGTGTAGTGCTACAGCAGGTCTAACTTTATATTCATCATTTGTCATCAAAAAACCTAACGCAGTTTTAATTTAGCCAAATACTAAACTGTACAACACATTTCCACTTAAAATAAACCCCAAAAAAATAGCAAATGTGATGTCTTTGGCAGATCACTACGTACCACCAATATATAAGTGCTACTACGAGCAAATACGGGTCACAAATCAAGATGAACAACAACGAGAAGAAGAACTTGACAGCGATAGTGGCGAAGTTGAAACTGAAGATTTCTAGTTTCTTTATATTATGTTGATCAGTTTTCTTTGCTGAAATGTTCTTATTTTAACCACATCATTTGTTATTTTTTCTGTGATCTCTATTGTGTTTCTTGTTTTTTTAGAGTTGCTTTGAGCTAAAACGTGAAGTTATGTTTTTTTTATAATGAATAAATACTGAACGCAATAATGTTGCTTTATTTGTGTATATTTGGAGGTTCGGTGCAAAAAACAGTCAACTCCAAGAGTTCAATTTTTTTTTTCTGAAGTGTCAAAAAGATTAATGTTATCAGTTTGATATTATATTATTCTCCAATAGCAGTACTTACTTGGTATTTTTTTTCGACAGAAAATTTGTACAAATAACAATATTGGAAAGTTTTTATTGATTTTCCACAAATTATCAAAAATGGAGTTGACTGGTTTTTGCACCGAGCCCTTCAATTTATTTCATATTTTAAAAATGCGATATTAAATAAGAAGCAACTGAGTTTATCACTTACTTGACTTTCATGTTATAGGTATGATTAATAATAATTCATTAAGCGACCTAAGCTGGTCTTAGGCTACAACTCGTTATAGTGTTTTTTCAGAAAACATTTGACATTTCGACGTCACGTAACTTTTCGACGTAAGCAATACCGAAAATTGAGCATAGCATAGAGCATGTTCACGATATTCCTCTAACAAGAGATAATGCAAACCTTCTAAGTACGTGGGAATAGAATACAAATTTTTGAAGACGGTGGTGTAATTTTGACAAAAATGTCTTCCTTTTTAAGTATCTAAAACATCGATATCCAATATACCTTTTACCAAGCATAAATCACGTTTTCTAGGATCCGGTACGAAACAAGCCTTGTTCACTGCATTAGAGCCCCATTACATGGCTGATTTAGGGCAATTACGGATGCCTACAAACTAATTGTCCCGGTTGGTCGCCGCTCAGGTGGAATCCAAGCAACGCCATTCCAATGTCGCTGACCATTTACCAACACAAAAACGATATGCTTTGTTAGAAAGCGCAGTTGCATCGACAAAATTCTTCTTGTTTGCTTTAAATGAAATTCAGGCTTATATCTGTAACAGGGCAGAAGACTGCGGAAGGCAACCCTCCACCTCGTTAATCCTATTAAATAAATGCGACAGAATTCGTTTCACATTTTAGTGAGAAGTAGTTTTCTGCTACCCGGTTTTACCTGCTGTAAGTGTAGATCACACCATTAATGAAGTAACCAAATCTCCCAAGAATGCAAGTTGACTGTCAATTTCATAATAAATGCCATCAAAGATATGAAACGTGACAGGAAGTTTACGCCATTTCTTAAAAACAATGGTTTATGTTAGTAACAGTTTCAAGCGTACGAAGTCCTGGGTATCAGCTAGTGCAAAATAGCTTGACGGTCACAGGTTGGGTGGGCGTCGGCGGGCCGCGCTGTTGCCGGCTTGAAGCTAACGGTGGAGATTTTGGTACTAGCCGCGCCAGTTAATTGTAAAATCAACTATGAGTTCGCGGTTAAAACCATGCCTGTAGCCGTATTCGGGTATCAGTTAGTATGTTTACAAGTTTCTTCGTCTCTCCGTATTGGGGTTCATACGTAATGTTGACAGACTCTATGAACATTCACGTTTGTATACAATGTAAAATAGACAATAGAAAAATATAAATATAAAATATACAGGGTGTTTCAGTTTATTGTTGCATAACTGTAAGATTCGATAGAACTATTAAAATTAATGCATAAAGTCTATATAAACATGGGTCGAAAAATGCGTGGCTTCCGAAATACAGGGTGTTTAAATTTACTTTCTAAAATAGTTTTTTTTAAATATTTCAAACAATATTTGATGTATAACAGTGAAAATTGGTACACAAGGGTTTTTTGGTACGACAAAACGAACCATGGGCATAATTTTACTGTAGCCGCTAGAGGGCGCCCTCTACTGTACCTGTAGTGTATTAAAATGACCGAAAATGTTTTCTTAGTGCAATTTTTTGCTGTTTGAATAAAAAAACTGATTCTTCGCACTTTTCAACATAAAAAAGCTCTCCTGTGAGTTTTAGTTATAGTTAGCCGTTTTTGAGATATTTCGATTTTTAAGGTTCGACGCATTTTTAATTATTTATGGGAAAATAATATTTTTTTTTACATTTTCGATTTGGGCATTACAAGTAATTAAGATGATCGTTTAGATTGTGTTTTTAAACACAGCAATAATTCCTAACTCCAAATAAACATAAAAAAACAGAATATTAATTTGTTTAATTGTCCAATATTATTTTTAACATATTAAATTAATTATTTACAACTAAAATGCTATTGGATAGTTAGGACAAACATACAAAATCTAAAGTAGTTGCTCGAAATGTAAACCCAATTGTTCAATACACAATTCACATCTACGAATGATCGAACGTGGTATAGCATTATTCAAATAAGGCCTCATTTCATCACATGCATTCCTGATTCTGTCTATTAGCATATCTCTTGTGGTTACGGGAGTCTCGTACACTTTTTCTTTTAGAAATCCCCACACAAAGAAATCGGCCGATCCATCTTTCTGGATAATTTTCGTCCAGCCAGTTTCTAACTATTCTCGAATAATGAGCTGGACAACCATCAAGCTGGAACCAGGCCAATCTTCTTAAATCTAACATAACATCATCCCACATATTTGCATGTTCAGTCTTTAAAAATTCCAAGAAGGTCGCAGCATTTAACCTTGCAGGCAAAAGGTAGGGTTCAAATAGTCGATTACGGTAGATACCAATCCACACGTTCACACTAAATTCATGCTGAAAATTTCTTTCCCGAACTGCATGCGGATTTTCATGCGGCTAAATATGTTGATTATGAAAATTTAACACTCCACGTCTAGTGAAGCCTGACTCATCGGTCCATAAAACGTTACTTAAAAACTCCCTATTATTATCAGTTCTATCAAGAATCCACTGACAAAATGTGATTCTTCGTTCTCCGTACCCTGGCTATAGTCCTTGCACAGGTTGCAAATGGTAAGGACGTCTATGGTCATTTCTAAGAACACGGTGAGCATGGCTTGCTGAAATTCCCAAGGCACCAGAAACTCTCCTAACACTTGTGGTCGGATCTCTATCAAACTCACGCAGAATCATACGGGTAAATCTGCGCTGACGAACATTTATGTTTTGATCCCTTTGGAGATTTCCAAAACCATTTTCAATTATTTGGCGATGCACTCTTACAAATACTGAGCGAGTTGGATGTCGCCTGTTTGGAAATCTTCGTGCGTATTCTCTGACTGCTTCTGCTGCGTTTCCATTTACAAAGCCATACACAAAATGAATATCCGCTAACTCTTGATTGGAGAATAAAAATGGCATTTTTATAAAACTTACATAAAAAAAGGTAAAAGAAACTAAGTTTCATGCATTCACAATTGCAAAAAAAACGTTTCAGGTTTCAACAGACAACAAAACTAACTGTCAACTCATTGACGTTTAACCTTATTCTGATTTCATTTCAAAAATATTTGCAGACACAGCCTACTTCTAAAAATTATCGAGATACTGACCTTTTAACGTTATTTTATCATAAATAATTAAAAATGCATCGAACCTTAAAAATCGAAATATCTCAAAAACGGCTAACTATAACAAAAATTCACAAGAGAGCTTTTTTATGTTGAAAAGTGCGAAGAATCAGTTTTTTTATTCAAACAGCAAAAAATTGCACTAAGAAAACATTTTCGGTCATTTTAATACACTACAGGTACAGTAGAGGGCGCCCTCTAGCGGCTACAGTAAAACTATGCCCATGGTTCGTTTTGTCGTACCAAAAAACCCTTGTACACCAATTTTCACTCTTATACATCAAATATTGTTCGAAATATTTAAAAAAAAACTATTTTAGAAAGTAAATTTAAACATTTCGGAAGCCACGCATTTTTCGACCCATGTTTATATAGACTTTATACATTAATTTTAAAAGTTCTATCGAAAGTTATGCAACAATAAACTGAAACACCCTGTGTAGAGCACGATGATCAATTGGTATACTCTAAGCCTTTCTCTTAGGAAAGAGATGGAGGCTGCACAAAATAAATTCAGTTAATTTGATTAATATGACTTCGAAGTGCCGATTCACCATTGGTTTAATGTAAAAACTTCACTATTTAAAGTGATAACGAAAAACAGTTATGGTTAACTCAGAAGGATGTTACGGTACAACTTAACTCCAGTGTATGATCTCCAAAGATAGAAGTTGCCAGGAGGCTAGTCCGTAAATACGACACCTCGTACCTACGCCGTAGGATGGTAAACCTCGCGAAACACGCTAGATCTTACTTCTGGCGGCCCTTATGATATGGGAGGCAAACGAGTACACGCTGCTGCTCGACTTGGCTTTCATCAAGATGACGCGTCACGCCGCTGGGTCTCGAGTGGGTTGCTTTGTTGGCTCGCTGGTCTGGTGGCCTTGCATTAGAACTGAGACAACTAAGGCCAAACTCAATAAAATTCAGCGTTTGGCCTGTATTAGTATTACAAGCGAATTGCGAACAACGCAACGGAAGCTCTGTTGGATCTCCCACCGTTGGATCTGGTGATCCGCGGTGAAGCGAGGGTAGTCGCTCATCGACTGTGGAGTCAGAGCAGCTGGGATTTCTTGAATCCTGTCAAGGGGCATACTGCCATCTTAGTCGAATTACAAAGGGAGGGGTGATCGTATTACCCCTAAATATCGCTTCAACCGCAAGTTTATTGTGGAGTATCCAACGAGGGAGGAGTGGGATGCCGGTAGCCGGGGGCTCTCCGGAGTGAGCGGGCAGATCTGGTACACGGACGGCTCGGTCACCGAAGAGGGCTCAGGTGGGGGGGGGGGTCTCTGGGCCTAGAACTAGGCTATCTCTGTCTCTCGGTGGATACACCACCATTTTCCAGGCGGAAATCTTTGCGATTCTGGCTTGTGTATCTCACATTCTGGAGGAGGGTGGGCCTAGGAGAAGAATAACAATATTATCCGACAGCCAGGCTGCAATGAATGCACTAAGTGCCTGTAAGATTACTTCGAGTCTTGTATTGCAATGCAGGGAGGCTCTGGATTGCCTCGCAGCGAGGCATCCGGTATCGTTAATATGGGTACCGGGGCACGCTGGGGTAAGGGGCAA